CACATCTGGGCGCATTATGCAAATATTTCCACATAGTGAGGTAGATATGTGGGGGCGTGTTAGAACGAGCCGTTTTAGGGGGGCGTGGCAGAGTCTTAACTTTGATAAAGAATATCTCTTTGGTTTTGAGACTTTAGTCTTTGCAACTTCAGGGATCTTATCTATGCACAATCAGCTTGTAACACTCCAAAGAGAAAGCAAAACTTGAAATCGCATCATATGACCCCTTTAAAGCATGTCAACATATTCTGTTATACCAAATACACAAAATAAAGATCTTTAAAATAGCATCATATGACCCCTTTAACAAAAACATTGGTAAAATATCTATTTAGGAGTCTTAGACCTTTCCAACGATATATAGCTTGTCATGATTAGATTAGGATTTAATTGTAATATAGTGAAGTAAACTTAGGCGTTCCACAGAGGGGACGGGTGACAGTTAAAGGGTTAAATATTCTTTCACTAGAACATAATATTGGGAGATACAGAGTGACAACTGATACTTATATGCATTTAATGCAAGTAGTCTACTGTACTGCTATAAAGATCTAATTGATTTACAAAAGCTATCAAAATTTCATCATACTTTTTGACTAAAATGGAAATAATTTTTCCTTCATGAGTATGCGCTCTATATTCTCCTATATGGATTTATCAAATATAATACTCAACAAACACACATATGCATATAATTAAAGGCTGGAATACACTATATGATTTTTGCCACGATTATCCATCAATTTACTGTCTAAAGAAGTTGATGCTAGTAGCCAAAAATCAGAGTCAGTCTGCAGATTTGAGCTGACAGATTTGATAGAAAATCGTGTAGTGTATGATGGTCACAGACTCTGATTTTTTTTAGCTGCAGATTATGACTCTATCCAGTCGGAGAATATCAAACGTTTGATATTTTGAGCCAATTTTAGAATTGTTTTCATTAGTCAATCGTCACCTAGCAACAAGGCACACGTTTCTGCGTGAGTTTGTTCTGATCGGAACAACTTTAAAGTCTGGTAGTGTGTGATCCTCAGTCATTTAGTGTGTGATGGACAGGTTTTCCTTTGTGAATATTTCAAGGTTGGTATGTCCAGTGTTTTAAAAGTTGTGTAGTGTATTCCAGCCATTAAGGTTCAATAAACTGTTCCATTTTTATTTTTAAATCTGATTTTTCTGACAATTATTTCTATTGACAATTATGGCTTTAAAGGGTTAGTTCACCCAAAAATGAAAATTCTGTCATTAATTGCTCACCCTCATGTCATTCAGAACCCGTAAGTCTACTGAATGTAAACAACGGGTTTGGAACGACATGAGGGTGAGTAAATAATGACAGAATTTTCATTTTTGGGTGAACTAACCCTTTTAATGACAATTATGATTTTATAGGGTTAAAAATGTTAAAATGTTTTAAACTGATTTTATTGATAGCTGAGGGCATTATCCAATTAGCCAAAATATTCAATAAAGACGTAAGGAGCCAGAGATTCATAGAATTTTATAAATGGCAGGCGTTCCATTTCTGTGGAAATCTGTGGTGCATCTGCAAGTACAGACATCCACATGACTAAACAAGACCAAGAGTTTCCATGATGTACGTCTGGCTGGGTGTTTAACAGAAGTGGAATCAAATGGACATTGAGTGAGTGAGGGGGGGTGGGGGGCAGCGAGGAGTATCACTTAATTTGGCAGCTGGAAGGGAAATCACAAGCTCTGTTCCAAACCTAGTCAGCTGTCTTGAGGCCTAGGCCTATACGTAAGCAGCATCTGAAATGGAACGTCCTTTTTTGGAACAGTCTTCGCATCAGCAGTGTGCCTATGATGCCTACTTAGGCAGCTCACTAGGTTTCGGAACACATCCGTGTTATAGAGTGTAACAGTTGGGTTTCTTAAGTTAAAAACTCTATTTATTTTCTCCACCGGTTCCATAGGTCCATTGATTTTTAACGCTTAACCTTTACAGAAAGTCTTGTTGTGAGCAAGGAGATTGTTAATCAATAGTATGCTTTTGCTGAGGCTGTCTTGTTTGCATGATTTCAACATAATTTTAAAACATTCGTGTTTAACATGGGAACTTGTGGTGAAAAACTACATTACCCATGATGCTGTACAGAAAATTCCACCAATCAGAGAGCTGGGGGCAAGCAAATCGTAATTTTCCCTACACAATACCCAAATATTTGTATGCATATAGTTTGCAGTGAACTCAAAATATACAGTTTCTGTATATATTCAAAGATATAATCAACTTTAAATGTAATAGTTTTATATTTTACCGTTGTTTTTTATTTAATTGTCATTCGCAATGCTTCGTGAGATTGTAGTTATTTCCCTCATTAAAGCCATTAAGTTCATAGTCTTGTATCTTCATCTTTATGTCCATTTTTTATTTATCTTATTGCTTTAAATAAAAGTTTGTAATGTTGTGATTCACCTTGTAGCTGGTTAGTTTTGCTCATGGCACATAACAAAGGCTTTTTAAATATCCCTATGGGAAAAATTAATGGAGAAAAAAAAAATACTTCCGGAACCAGTGGTGCTGAAAAAGTGGGTGGGCACTAATGCACTCTATGGTGCTAGTCTGTGTGCGTCACTAGGAACAAATGAGGGAATCTGGGGCCCGGGGCTCCGCATAATGCCATTTTATGTTACTTCAGCCATTCAAAATGACCGCAGGAAAGAGACAGAGGAAGTTTTTATAAGAATTACTGTCGAGCCACATTTAAGGTACCAGCAGGGGCTGAATTATGCATCTGTGTGAGACTGAGAGAAAGAGATTGCAGCCATGGTCTCTGATTCACCTCTCTCTCAGACATGATGAGTTATGAGTCTTCAAACTGGCCCCTGAGGTTGTTATGCACGCCTATAAGGGAACAACAGTGTAACAGCTCCATTGCATGCCAAAATGACACAGCCCTGCAATAACCAAAAACATTTTGAAAGCCAAGCTTCAGGTTATCTCATTTTGTGTGTACGTGTCAGTATTTTTTATTTATTTTTTGCATAACATTCATACCACTGCATTTAGTTGAATAAATACTAGAGCCATATTGGCTCTCTCACAACAAAACTACAAAAATAGTACAGAGACAGCATTCTGGTATTTCTATTGCATACTAAAAACTGCCTCTGTCACAAACAGCTTATATTTCCAAATACATACTGTTTACACCTTCTGTTTAGAAACTTTTAAACAGACGAGCAAGCAAAAGTCCTGACTTTGCAGCAAATGAAAATTAAATGTTCTTGATTTGACACTAAAAAGTTTTTATAGGCGCACATCTCCGTTATTTAACGCTTCTTCAATGCAAGAACGCCGCAGTCGTGCAAACCGAACATTTACGCAGCATTGATTAATTAGCTACTGTCCCTTTAAGAGCGTGAACGCGCATAGTATCTTTTCCATTGCGACTCTCTGCAACAACTTCAATAGCTCTTTCCTTGCAGAAATGCAGCACATTTACTGTCTCGAACCACTCCCTGCCGTCATAAAATAACTTCGTATGATAGATAGAAATGGCTTACGCTCGTAATGTGTCGTCGTGACGGGGACAGAGCCGCAGAGGGAAGTGTCTCTCCTCCAGACGAGGCTGTCAAGAGCGTCTAGACTGACTGTCTCACTCTCATCGCCAAAACTCAGCAGAGCACAAGCTCCCGTTGTGTTCCAGTCAGTCCAGCCCTCTGTCTCGCTGAGTTATCTACTACACACTGCAGCGACACCTGCAGGACAGGAGTGCCAGCGAGCGCTCAGACATCACAGACAGACAGACAGATAGATAGATAGATAGACACAAATAGATAGATGGAAGGACGGATGGACGGACAGATAGATAGAAGACAGATGGACAGACGGACGGACGGACAGATAGATAGATAGATATATAGAAGACAGACGGACGGACGGATAGATAGATAAATAGATAGACAACTGATTTTGATTACAGCATTTTCAGTTTCTTTCAATTTTATTTTTCATAAAATTGATAAAATATAGACTTAAATATACTGTGTGTTTGTGTGTGTGTGGGGTAATGAGACAGCAGTAGGAAGGGGCGGGGCCAGTGGAGAGGGAGGTGCTAATGTGAGAGGAGGGCGTGTGTCATTTCACCCTCTTAAAAGACTCATTTACCAAAAAGAACCTGAACCCTCTGGCAAGGATTTAACAAGTGTGTTTGCCATTATTGAGTGGTTCTGTGGAGAGAGTCCATGCCAGCCCAGTGCAGACATGGCCACAGGGTTGGCAGGTGTGTAATTAGGCCACAATACTGTATGTTCTCTTGATTAACACACTCTCAGCAGCCCGAGGCCCAAAGCCCTGACCTCTTACATCTGCCAGACACAGAAGAGAAAAACAACCCACAACTACCACGACTCAAAGTGTTTGATCTGATCAGGACTGTGTGTGTGTGTAATGTGTATATATACACACTGACACCATATATACAGCATTTTTGATTGTATTGAAAGACCAAATTCATACATCTTTTTCAATCGTTTTAACCTAACAAAATGAAAAGTACACATTTGTTTAATTTTGTTATTATTATTATTATTATTTTATTTTAATTTTAATGTGGAAAAACATTGTGTAAAAAGTTTCAGATTGTGAAACAATGTACCAAATACACCAGATAAATCTCAACCAGTCGAGTAAAGGCCCAGTCATATTTTACATCAAAATCAAAAGCATTGTGACATCATTTTCATAAAGTAAGGATAACTTTCCTTAAAAATAAATGCAAAATAATAATAATAATAAAATAACATGCAACTTATAAAAGTATTTATGCATCACATTATCTATTATACTACCCTTAATTTATAATTATTTAACTACAAGCATTTCATAACAGTATTTTTTACTGTAACAAACTCAAAAATATTACAGTAAAAACATTTGTCTTCATTTTCTTTATATATAATTTATTATAATTTCATTTTTAGGGTAAACTATGATCTGGACATAACAAAGGCAATTTTGATAATGTTAATAAAGAAAACTAAATAACCAAAAACAGCGATCACATTTGATGACACGAATTATACACACTAAATGTGAGGAAGGTTAGTGTGAGGGTCTCAGTCATGTTCGGTGGGTTGATTGGTGGAGTTGGCCGTGTGTCGCTGACGTATCTGAGGAGCGTGGGACAGATCAGGCTCATATATTTGCTCGATGAGAGAGGGGGGAGGCAGGAGGTGGGCCAGGCGAGATCCCGCTCTGGGGGAGTCCAAATGAGGGAAGAAGTACCTGGAGGAACAGAATGGAGGCGAAGCCAAACAAACACCACAAACGAGACACACCACCAACACAGAGAGATGATGGAAAAATGGACAGTGAGGAAAAACTAAGAAACAAATGAAGGTTGAACACAAGGTAACATTGTCAGGAGGAGAGTTAAAGGGATAGTTCACCCAAAAAATGAAAATTCTGTCAATAATTATTCACCCTCGTGTCATTCCAAACCTGTAAGACCTTCGTTCATCTTCAAAACACAAATTAAGATATTTTTGATGAAATCCGAGAGCTCTCTGACCCTCCATAGACGGCAACAGAATTACCACCACGTTCAAGGCCCAGAAAGATAGTAAGGACTTCGTTAAAATAGTCCGATAGTGGCAGAGGATGGTGACACAGAAGAGACGAATTGTTGAATAAAGTCATTATTTGTGTTTTCTTTGTGCACAAAAAGTATTCTCGTAGCTTCATAAAATTACGGTTGAACCCCTGATGGACTATTTCATCGATATTCTTACTACATTTCTGGATCTGGGAACATTTCAGTTTCAGCTGTCTATGCAGGGTTAGAAAGCTTGGATTTCATCAAAAATATCTTAATTTGTGTTTTGAAGATGAACGAAGGTCTTACGGGTTTGGAACGACATGAGAGTGAGTAATTAATGACAGGATTTTCATTTTTGGGTGAACTATCCCTTTAAAGGAATGCATCAGTTTCAATGCAATGAAATGTTAATCAACAGCGTGTGGCATAATGTCAATTATCACAAATGATCATTTCAGCTCGTTCTTCAGTTTGTGAAAACCACTATCATGTTTATAGTCATGCTTTTACAATAGAAGCCTATAGGGTAAGACATAAATAATGGGGGGGGATACAGAACCTTTTTTTTTTTTTTTGAAAAAGAAGGCAAGAAAATTTGGTTACACTTTCTTTTAAGGTGTCCTTGTTACAGTGTAATTATACATTTAAGTACTGAGTAATATTAATTAACTACAAGTACTACTTACTATATGGTTAGGATTAGGGTTTGGTTTAGGGTTACTTGCATGTAATTATGCATTATTTATTATTATTATTATAGTAAATACATGTAACGTATGACACCTTAAATTAAAGTGTTATAAAGCAACTTTAAACTTAAAGAAAATTTAGAAAATTTTGATTATCAAGCTTGGGAGCTCAAACTGAAATGCATACGAGAAGATTCATTCATTCATTCATCCATTCTAGAATTTTTATAATTTCATTAACCAAAATGTGGGACATCATTTGGTAACACTTTAGATTAGGGAACAAATAGTAAATACATGTAACGTATGACACCTTAAATTAAAGTGTTATAAAGCAACTTTAAACTTAAAGAAAATTTTGAAAATTTTGATTATCAAGCTTGGGAGCTCAAACTGAAATGCATACGAGAAGATTCATTCATTCTAGAATTTTTATAATTTCATTAACCAAAATGTGGGACATCATTTGGTAACACTTTAGATTAGGGAACACATATTCAGAGAGTTTTCCCTCAAGAAACTCCTAATTTGCTCCTTATTGATAGTAAGGTAGTTATTCGTAAAGGTTATGCTTAGGTACTGGATCAAATTAAGGGATCTAGCAGAATAAGGCATCAATATGTGCTTTATAAATACTAATATATGGCCAATATGCTAATCATGTGCATGCTAATAAGCAACCCCTTATTAGTGAATTTGAGTTCCCTAATCTGAAGTGTTATCCATAATATCCACCAAAATGTGTAGCCTGCAAACTAGATTTCTGTGATTTTATTTTCCACCACTAAACATTAAAGCAGAAAAAACAATAAAATACCAAATTGATCAAATTAAAACCAATTTTAAACTATTTTAGTGAAGTTGACTGTCAGTATAAGGTCTAGCTAATTCGGGGATAAATGTTTTTTAGTTGCCGATAAAAACTTTTATTACACAGAAAATAAAGAAACTTGTTTGATAACTTTTAATAGAAATACTGCAGCATTGAATGTTTAAGCCTACATTCCAGCTTGTTCCTCTCTTGCAAGGTCTCCTTGAATGAGGACAAACATAATTCAGACAAACTTCAGAGAGGTTATTACACAACTCGGTGAAAAACAAACTTTATTTGAGAAAAAATACACACAAAAGTTGCATTCATTTCAAAAACTGTTTAAATGTTCCTCCTTTTGAATTCCCATTTCAAGTGGCACCACTATAAAGAATATGCTGAGTTCCCGTCATGAAGGGGAGTGAGCATCTCGAGATCTCCAATATACAGTATATAGCATTAATGATCGGGTTCCGGCCTTTGAGTTATGGTCCATTATTCATGCACCAGACTCCTGAATTTTGACAAACTTTTAGTGACTTTTTTTATTAGCGGAGATAGATATTGTTTAGCATGTCTGATGTTTCATCATTGTCTACTGGGATTGTCTCCTCTACTACATTGTCTCCTACATCATAAAAGAGGCACTGAAATCTGGTAATTCAGTTAGTGTGACAAATTAAATGTAATGTGTTAGTAATTCCAAGGGCATATTTGGAGACAGAGTGGTTTGAGCAGAACTGAGCTGAATGATACAGTGTCTCCCTCTACTGTCCACACCACACATTACATGCCGGCAGTTTCGAACCAACAGCACATCTATGTGGTGTTCTCTGGAAACACGAGTTAAAGGAATAGTTCACCCAGAAACCAAAGATGCCAAATTTACCCACCTTCAAGACGTTCCAAATGCAAATAAATGAGAATTTTAAAAAATGTTGTCTTTTATGCTTCACAGAAGAAAAAAATGTTCTGGAACGTTTGACGGCAAGTAAATGATATGGTTTTGATTTTGGGGGAGCTGCTCCTTTAAATGCAACTTCGACAGTTTTCTGACATGGTCAATACAAATGTTGACAAATGCAGACAATTGAGTTTGAAACTCGTGAAAAATGACCTAAATGTATTAAAATAAATAAATAATACTGCATCACATTACAACAATTAATAAGTATGTCAGTATTGATGGGAATCAAGTTTAGTATATAATTTGTTAAAAAATACCAAAATTTTTTAAAAAACTTATTGTCAGGGAGGTAGCACTGAACACAACACACACAGAGGCACAGTTCCTTTAACAGCCACACAACCGATCGTGCCGTCAGCACACGCTTCTGTCGGATTAGTCACTAGACGAGTGTTCAGGTGTCACAGACCGTGCAGGGGAGGGTCAATCAGGTCTCGGTCCAATCCTGTGCATGCAGCAAACAGCCAATCAGCATGTCAAGCCATTAGCCTGGCATCAGCTGAGCTTTTTTTCTGTTAAAAATAAGACGGAATTATGTATAAACCCCAAACCTGAAAATTCAAATGCAGACAAATGCAAAAAAAGTAGAAAACAAAACTGCCTCCGTCAGTTCCCAAAAAAGTGAGAACAATTTTTTTACATAAAGCAGTAGTTTTTGAACTTTTATTTCAAAATGTAACCATTATTCCAAACCTACACATCTGTGATTGATATTTATCAAAATTCTATCCAATATTATATGGTTATTTAGTATGTTATCTGTTTAGTCTTTCAATTTCAAGCAAAAATGTTAACACTTTAGATTAGGGAACACAAATTCACTATTAACTAAGAGCTTTCCCTCAATGAACTCCTAATTTGCTTCTTATTCACAGTAAGTAAGGTGGTTGTAGTTATGTTTAGGTATTGGGTAAGTCATCTAGAATATGGTCATGCATTAATATGTGCTTTATAAGTACTTAAAACAGTCAATATGCATGTTAACAAGCGACTAGTTAAAGGGGTCATATGATGCGATTTCAAGTTTTCCTTTCTCTTTGGAGTGTTACAAGCTCTTGGTGCATAAAGAAGATCTGTAAAGTTACAAAGACTAAAGTCTCAAATCCAAAGAGATATTCTTTATAAAAGTTAAGAGTCAGCCACACCCCCCTAAAACGGCTCGTTCTAACACGCCCCCACATGTCTACATCACTATGTGGGAAGATTTGCATAACGCCGCCCAAATGTTCACGCAAAGAAAGAAGGCATAACTTTTATTCTCGCTGTAGTATTGTTGTTGCCGCCATGTCCTGAAGACGCTGTGTGTTTCGTTGTGAAAGCGAAACTACTTTGGTTGGCCTTCCAAAAGAGGACGATATCCGCTTCGTCATGCCTGGAGCTGATCTGTGCTGGTCGCTGAGGAAATACATCAACTTCACGCTGTGGATCGCCGGATCGGCTTTCACCGTGGACGAAGCGGAGTCCAGCCCGGGGTCGTCACATGTGGTTAAATAGTGAATAGTGTTTCCTAATCTAAAGTGTTACCTCAAAAACGTCTTATGAGATCAGATGCTTTTTTTTTTTTTACTACAAAATGATAAATAAAAACGTGCATTAGTTTTGTTTTTTAATGTTTTTATTCAGTTTATGAAGGTGCTGTAAACTGAATCATTCTATATTGCATCATATTTTATACATGCAACTTAGTTTATTGCAAATCATTTTTGCCATATTTAAAAAAAAATTTGTAAACTACAGACAACGCATCCACAATGTCCGTCACGTTTTCTCACTAATCTGCACTCAACTCATCAATGTAATCTTTCCAAAATGACTTGAACGCTCCATTACTGCTCATCCCTACATCACGGCACCGTCACGTACCTGCCAGCAGAAGCAGCCCCAACAACCATCTGAGCGGCCACAGGGACGCCCACCGCGCTCAGAGCCGCAGCGTGTCCAGAGCCGTTCACTGGGCTGCCGTCTCCTCTCAGGATCCCTGTGCACTTCCAGTTGTCCATGTAATTAGCTGCAGATGAGATGAAACAGCATTCACAGCACAATTTGCATAATGTGACTTATTTCATGAAACACATCAGGCTGGGATATTCTTAGTTCGTATTATGTGCAGTCTTAGTTGTGAGCAGAAATAATGTTTAAAGTTCATATTTATTAACGAAAGATAAACCCTTTTACTTTTTAATATTATATTAACAATTTAAATTAAATAAAATAATTAAAAACAATATTAAAAAGAGTTGGACTTCAAAGAGTATATCTGAATAGGCAGTGATAAAGAGCTATCACTGCGAATGGTTGTTCACTCAGCAGGAAGCAGACTGAGCTGACGGCTGACCTTTCCAGAGCCGCACACAGCCGTCGTCTCCAGAGGAGGCCAGCAGAGTGCTGGTGATGTTCCAGCTCACGCGCCACACCTGAGAGTTATGACTGTCAAACTGAGCCATCACCTGCACCTCAAACTTAGTGGGACCAGAGCTATTGGCGCTCTCTCTCCTGTCAGAAACACAACACACATCAACTACACCAACAACATTCATACAGTCCGAGGAAAACATGTTTACCCCTCTGGTGCTCATCATTTGGGAGTCACGCTTGTAATCTTCACGGTCCCCCCCCCAGTAAAATCAATGTAACATTTTTGTTCTATAGTAACATTTTGAGATGATTTCATGGTTTCAATTAATATTTATGCAATAATTATGATCAATTTCTTCTCACTGAAAATAATACATATTTTTTTAACATATATTAATATATATATTTTTATATTACTTTTCAATTAATGCAGTATTTCATGTTAAAATATCAGTCAATGCCTTTAAAATCCAGTTTTTGAAGCCTGATTAGTGCCATCTGGTGGGAGTAAAATAAGAAAAACATCTGCAATGTCATGGTTTAGCACAACTATCTGCTTTTTGTTTATGTTTGGGTGAAATAACATGTTTAAGATGATCAATTTGACTGTTACCTCACTTACTACCGAGTGTGATATCCTACTAACCTCATAGGTATGAGTTTGAAAATGCGGACGTCTTTAGTGGCTATGGCCAGCACATGGAAGGATCTCCCCAGATTAGGAGCAAAGGTGATGTCATGAACCGGGTCAGTCACAGTCATCAGCGTCTCTGCTTTGGCATACTTCCTGTAGATCAACATAAACCCTTTTAGAAAAGCTTATAAGTGATAACAAGTAAAACAGGAACTGATGCATGGAGTGAAGCTCATACCTGGTATTTTCATTATACTCATAGATCTGCACTTTGCCGCTGTATGTGATGTTGCTGTCGTCACTGCCCACGGCTATCATTGGAGGATGAGCTCGAGAACTAAAGGACAGAACAAACCGTTGTGACGATCAAGAGTGCATCTTTCATATTGATATGTGACTGTGTAGACGGCGCTCAGACCTGGAGGGGTTCCAGGAGATGCAGGAGCAGGAGAGCTTGCAGGAGATCTCGTGCTGCAGTGACCACTGGCTGAGGTTCATCACGTCAGGGGCCTCGTAGATGCGCACCACGCCGTCTGCAGAGCAGGTGGTCAGCATCAGGCCCATGTGCTTCGGCGCAAACTTCACATCGGTCACGGACGTCCGGCTGTCCACCAGCGTGGTTCTCTTGATCTGTACAGACAACGCAGAAATCAACAAAAGAACTCTGACATTTGATTGGTTTTTACTTCCTTTCACAAACTATAGTACAATTATAATGTTGTCAGTAATAGGGATCTTTCATTAGATAATGCTGAAATATTTGAAACTGTTTTAATACTCATTTTCCACAGTATCAATACACTGATACCAGCTGTGCTTTGTGCATTTTCCCTGCAGTTTTTACAAAAATAAAATCCTGCTGGGGTTAACTCATATGGAGTGGGGCTGCACATGACATGCAGACAAAAGTATATTTATCATGGCCCCTGAATTAAGAATTGGTTCCCTCATTTTATTAATTCATTACCTCATTTTAGTTACCTGTGGCCATGATTTACTGTTTGTTCCCTCATTTTAGTTAATTGGCGACTATGAATTAAGAGTTTGTTCCCTTATTTTATGAATTAATTCCTTCAATTTAGTTCATGACCACAAATTAAGAATCTGTTTCTTCATTTTAGTTATATTTGCTCCCACAGCTTAATTCATTCCCTCAGTGTTAATTCGCTTCTTACTTTTTTATTTTACAGAGCAGTTGTATTACAATTATCTTAATAATAGGGGTCATATGATGCGATTTCAATTTTTGCTTTCTCTTTGGAGTGTTACAAGCTCTTGGTGCATAAAGAAGATCTGTAAAGTTGCAAAGACTACAGTCTCAAATCCAAAGAGATATTCTTTATAAAAGTTCAGAGTCAGCCACACCTACCTAAAACGGCTTGTTCTAACACGCCCCCACATATCTACCTCACTATGTGGAAATATTAGCATAATGCGCCCAAATGTGCACGCAAAGAAAGAAGGCGTGGTTTCAGGAACAGCAGTAGTGTTGATGCAGCATGTCAGGGAGATGCTGTGTTTCAGTGCGAAAGCGAAAGCACTTTATTTGGCCTTCCGGAAGCAGATGCAATTAGGAATCATTGGTTAAGATTTATTTACAACAGAACAGCACAACCCAGATGTTCGAATTTGAGCAACGCATTTTATGGACGACGGTTTTTTGAACCTAGAAGAGTACAAGGCTGGCTGTGCACAAAGGCTATTTCTAAAAAAAAAAAAAAATTCCGACTTTGCTATGACAATCTGGCGCTTCTGAATCTGCGAGTGTAAGTATGTTTTGTTATTAGTTTAAGTATTTGCTATTGACTGTTCACATGCGGAGTTTTGCGCAGCGCAGAGTAACGCGTCGTGTGTGTGTGTGTGTGTGTGTGTGTGAGGGGAACAGGGTCACATCACAGGAGAGTGAACTGCCTGTCAGAAATCATAGCACGTCAGCGGACTTAACCGTGGCTTGTGTACTGCATCATCACTGTGTCTGTCACGCGACTCTGTTGCCCTTTC